TCTTTCCCCTCCCTCCTGGAGCTTGAATACTGCGAATCAGCTGTTTGTGGTGCTCTGGAAGCTGTTGGAGGGAGGGAAGGAGTTGGTCATTGGGGCTGCTGGAGCAGGAGAGGTGCAGGGTGAGGGGGCCAGAGAGAGCGGAGTGTGTTTTTTATCCATGGATGTCTAATCCCAGCACACCCATAGATTTGGTGCCTATGAAAAATAGTACAGTATGGCGCTTGCAGTGAGTAGAACCCTACCAAAATCACTGTATGAACCATGAGTCATGTACTATGAAATCTGGTCTTGACCCATGAAACCTGGTCTTTTCTGTGCTTTTACCCTATACTATACATATTTCATGGAGGGGGGAAGAGACCAGTGTTTCTCAGACTAGGGGTTGTGACCTCACAGGATTGCCATCCTTACTACTGTGCTGATTTCAGAGATGGGCGGCATACCATATCATGCTATCTTGCATTGCTGTTGGCAACGGCTCTGTTTTCAGCACTGGATTCCTGGCTAGCAGCCACCGCCCTATAGTTGCTTAGCTGGGAAGGCAACACAGAAGTAAGAATAGCAGTATTGCAACCTCCCCTATAACCTGGTGACCTCCTACAACTCCTTTTTGGGTCAGGACCCCCACAAGTATAACACCATGAAATTTCATATATAAATAGCTGAAATAATGACATTTACCATTTTTAAAAATCCTATTAGTGTGAAATTGACCAAAATTGACTGTGAATTTTGTAGGCCCTCAATAATTTAAGACCGAGGAGGGAAGTCTCCATGGTCACATTTCTTATCCCACTGGTTGCACTGCAAAGACAGATTCACGGAACAAAGAAAATAATCACCGAGACAGAGAGGAAGTGGTTCAGGGAAGACAGTCTGTGGTTTGTAGAGAAGACAGAGTACTGACTTTCTAAGGTCCTGGACTGGAGTCTCAAGGCTACGCTTTTCTCTCAGCCTCCTGAGATCCTGAGAAGTGGCGTCCCAAGGCTGCTGAGATTTGTAGACCTTTCTTTTGAAATATGGTAGGAGAAGGGTCAGAATTGCTTCCTTCCCTCATGACAGGGGAGACTAGAAATACTCGGAACTCGTGTCAGTTTCTCCTAGAAGCAGGGAATCTCCACTATGTGGTTTGAATTTTGCCAAATCTCTTGGAAGATTATGGATTTCTAGGGGCTATTCTCTGAATTTTGAAATGTAATGCAAGACTTTTCAGTTGGTTTTCTTGAACTTTGGTAGCAGCTTCTGTGGAGAAGTTGCTTTTCTCGAACTTTGGTTGCAGCTTCTGTGGGGAATCAAGGTTCTCGAGGGGAATGGGCGGTATACTGTTTTTAGAATTTCACGGGGATATCTTCTGTGGGTGTTATAGGACTATATTATAAAGATAACCTGGGGGAATTACAAACCAATTATCTTAACTTCAATACTTGGAAAAATGATGGCGCAAATAATTAAGTATTTATAAAGATAACCCGGGGGAATTACAAACCAATCATCTTAACTTCAATACTTGGAAAAATGATGGTGCAAATAATTAAGTAATCCATTTGCAAATACCTAGAAAATAATAAGTAGCAGTGTGGATTTATCAAGAACAA